TAGGAAATAGTGAAATGCGTTAAAGATACGTATTCATTAGAAGTGGGTTCATCCAGCACTTACAACTGACGTATGCAAACAAGAAAACAGCCTTCTTCAGAGATATAATGATCACAAACATCAATTTTTTCCATCCATATCAGAAATATCAATATTGAATTCAAATCAGTATTGGATATCAAAATCATTTCTAGGAACAATATTTATAGAAGAATAAACAGTAAAACTGAATTAAACATCGCCCAAAAAGCATATCTCTGGAAGGAAACAGAAAGGTAAAGAGTTGATCGAACTACACACCTCAACGGGAGCTGAACTATCCTTTGTTGTGGATGTGTTGAACCCCAAGCACTAGGCGGAGCTGTTGTTGCATAGTAATCGTCGTCATCATCATCAACATCGGCCCTAGATTTCACCGTCAGAGGCGCCGGCGTCCAGTAAACCTGGGGTTCAGGTTCCTTGGCCTGGTTTTTGGAAGATCCCTTGCTCTTCGACGACCCATGCTCCTTGTCAGATTTCTTCTTTCTCCTAAGGCTTTCGAGAGCAGATAAAACGTTCGCATTGCTTATCCCTAAGGGCCCCATCGCCCATCCTGCTCCCACCTCCAACCATTTCTAGCCCGATCACAAACAAGCCACAGTTGTGTTATTGTGTATTGGAGCAAAGGCCTCCGAAGACTAGAAGCAGCAGTTCTAATTGCCGGATTGAAACTAAGAATAACAAATCTCTAGCCTTGCAAATTATGGATTCGAGACTAGGGTTACAGAGAAACGTCTAAACCAATTAGATTTTCTTACAGAAAATAAATAGGGCAAAACAAACTGGGGCAAAAAACACCTAAGAAGGACTCGGTAACCCTGTAACCTCACCATACTCGGTGTCGCCAAAAAAAAAGAAAAATTACCAGAGTTCTGATGAAGAAATTAGGGTTTCGAAACAAATGAATCAAAAGAAACAGAGAGAAAATTAAGGTGTTTCCAACGTGTGACGATATCTTACTACTTACGAACTTCCGAACTCTTCTATCATTAATCCAACGGTAAATAATTGATGATGACTACAACGGTAAATTACCAGTTTGTAATTTGAGTGCCGCTGTAAAATCTGCTGATGCTGATGGCGGTTACAGAATACAGATACGTGGAATTTTAGGACACATGGCTTGGGAAGCAAAGAATTTGGAGACCCGTCTCTAGCAAGGAATGCTGCCTACCGTCGGATCTGTTGACCAAACTACTCGGTAAAGATTATTTCACGAGTTTGATACGTGCCACGTGTCCTTTCGATAGGTACTTCTATCAAGCATCATTGCAGCCGAGCTGCCTCGCGAGCACGCTTCAGACAAAGGTGGGTCCAACGGTGCTTTTAAAGGAAAACTATGCATTGGTCCTATATTTTCTTACCTTTTCTTTCAAATCAAACATAGCCTTAATTTAAACATTAGAATTCCTCCTAATGCATTTACTTTTGAAATATTACATGTGTCGATGCTTTGAACCAAGCTTCAAAATATTAATACATATCAATATAATATATATATATATGTATGTATATGCACCGATAAATAAACTATCTCAAAGGATTGATAGGTTTATCTCTTTTATTTGGTATGTGACCTCTTTTATTGGTTAACGCCAATGAAATAGCCTACCTTAAAGAACAGGCATGGAATGAAATAGCCTGTTTCATTGGCCTTAACCAATAAAAAAGTTCACATGAAAAAACCTATCAATTTATCAAATAAATCGATACTTTAAAACTTGCTTTGGACCATAGTTGAGATGAGCTCAAATTAGCCTCTGTAGTTTTCCACAACGTCCCATAGCACATCCCCGTCGCGTATTGGAAACATTTCTTGATGATAAGTATAAAAAATAATGAGATATCGTTGGGAGATGTTCCCAATATACGACAGGGATGTGATGTGGGATTAGGGGTGGATTCGAACCAAGTCGAGCCAAATAGCTATTCAAGCTTGGCTCGCCAAGGTAGTATTAGGCTTGAGCTCAATTCGAGCTAGAATCTTGAGTTCGAGCTTGACTCGAGTCAAAAGCTCGTTAGTTTGTAGTCAACTTGAGAAAAATGTTTTATAAAAATTAAAAAAAATTATATATTAAAATTTTTATTTGATAATTAAAAAATTCAAAATTATAATAATTAATTATTATTATATATAAAAATAAAAATATTATATATTGTATGTATGTATATATGTAGCTATTCGAGTCGGCTTGTGAGTCTTACGAGCTAAGCTTTATTAGGCTCGAGCTTGACTCGACTAAAAAACAAGCTTGTAAATGGGGCTTGAAGCCCGATTAAAACCAAGCTGAACCAAACTCGAGTAGCTCATAAAAAGTTCGGCTCGTGGCCGCCCCTCTATGAGGGATATTGTGAGAAACTATCTTGTGGGGGGCTGATTTCAACTTGGTTGAGATAGAAAGGAAATGACTAGCCTAAAGAGTACTTAAGCTAGGGAAAAGTTAGGGATTTGCCAAATTATTCCTATACAAGGAAATTAAAAATATCCGGTTTGAAGAATTTACACTGAACACGTGCTTTCAGACTAGGTACATTCGAATTTCAACAAATTCCCCCACCTGAGCCCGCCCAAATTGCATTTGCACCCCTAAATATATAATATATATTTATATAATTCCAAATTGATGACAACTTCTCTAGTTATCCTTTTATAGGCATGGAATGTGCCATTCCAATGTTTTAATTTTATAATATTACTAATAGGGTATGGTCATGTCATAAGCTATGCACTAGTATAAGACTTATGGGAATAATAAAGTATATTTATTTACTTTAATGTATTAACTGAAAAGGCACAAGAGATGGGATCTAATTAAACACTGAAAAGTAATTTTATAATATTATTTTAATGTATTTACTGCCATGTAGCTGATTTAATGTGGAACCTCTGATTGGTTGGCCATTCACTCTCCTAATCCACACATAAGATTCCCACATTGTGTTGGAAAATGGAAATTTACCCCATTGAGGTCACTAATTTATAGTTTGATTTTATTTTAATTTAAGGACATTTAGGGTTTTAATATTTCAACTCTAATCAAGCTTATCAACAAAGGTGTATTTTATCAAGGTTACCAAGAACAAGTGGGAATCTAATTAAACACTCCAATTGGCTAGCTATATTGGTAAGGTCTTTGGCTGGTTGTAGTGTAGCAGAGATGGGATCGGTTCCCACCTTCGCTCAGGTTCAGGTATTATGGGTATGAGAGATGGGCTATCCTGTTGTTTAGCCCATGAAATAATATATAAAAGCGTAAAATACAAAAACCTCCCCTAAAGTTTTTGACAATCATAAAAACCTTTCCTTTAGTTTTATTTTAACAAACACCTCCCCTAAACTTTTAAAAAACCTGACAAAAACCTCCCTTCCAAAAGGAAAACGTTAAATTGATTTTCAAATACCAATTATACCCTTTTGTAAATCATCCTATTTAAAACTCGAAAAAAAACCTCAAACTTGTCGAACGCCTCGACCTCTCCTTTTGTGAATCACATTCCCCGCCTTTTGTAAACAATGCCTACATCCGTTTTTGCTCAACATCTTCCAACATTGCGCTAAGGTGTAAATCGAAAAGAATCTGGTTGTAAAAATTGCAAGTGTCATAACAAAGGAAACTACCATCCAAAAACATTTGGGCTGAGTTGGCGGGAAGGCAGCTAAGGAGCTTAGTTCGATTCTCGGTGAAGTAGAGGTGGCAGCCAGTCAGGGAGACATCACTGTGGCATTGAGCTAGTATGGTATCGAGAGGGAGGGTGAGAAGAAGAATGAGAATTTGAAGAAGAAAACCCATATATGAGATGTTGAAGCATTAGGATGAACGAGAAAAATCATAAAAGATAGCATGATAGATGCATGGATATCTCAATTGGTATGTTAATATTTTCATGGAACATCTCTCTCTTATTCTTAAAGGATTTATTTTTTCTTGTTCCCCCTTTTTTTTCTATTCCAATTGAAATTTTGTGGTTGCATATAGCTGGTGAGGCAGGGATGGAGGGAAGGTGGGAAATTTTGGCTGTTGGTGTCCCACAACCTACATTGTTTAGGAGCTTTTTTCTGCGTGATATGTTACCATGAATGTAGGGTAAAAGAGCAATTGCCTTCAATATTCTTTCAACGGGACTGGATGGATTGACATGTCATGCGGAAGAAGTTAGCCAACAGCCTAGGCTGTTTTGGCTCCCAATAGCCAAAGTTTTCTCAGTTTTTCCAACCAAGTAGATTCCATCATCTCATAAACTACTTGAATCATCTACTACTGTTATTATATGCATAAAGAAAAAAAGGTGCATGTATTAACCAATGTTTTGAAAATCGGACCAGATTGACCAATTGAACTGGTTGGACCATGACCCAGCCCCTGGCTAGTCTAGATATACCCCCAAAATCGGTATGTCAAAAAAATCGGGAATAACCGGTCACCCTGTTGGTTCAGCTGGCGAATCGTAAAACCGGTCCCGGTTTTGTATAACCAGCTGGTTTTTTCATTTTCAAATTTAGTACACAAAGACAAAAAAAAAATGTTAAATTGGGCCAAACAGGCCCTTAGGTCTAAATCCAATCGAATCCCAAATTCGAAAACCTCAAAACCATCGATCTCTCATTGTTCAAAATGGCAAAACCTAACTTAATACCACCTGACTTGACCACCATCAATGCCTCCAGCTTCGTCGACACCATTACTGTCGCCACCAACAGGCTCTCTCTCTCTCTCTTCTTCTTCTTCCCGTCGATGGACTTTGTTAATCGCGCATGTCCCTCTCCTTCTAAATCCACTGGCCAGTTTCCTCTCCTCCTCTTCTTTCTTCTTTTTCTTCTTCTTCCCGCCGATGTATTCTGTTTTTTGCGCCCCTCTCCCTCCAACTTTGCTGGCTAGTTCCTCTTAGACCTGTTCATGGGACACGTAGGGCTGAGCTTTGTCTATGTATCAATAGAATACATTCAAGAATGAGCCCGAGCCCGACACTCATATAAAGTTCGAAGCTCGGGCCCGAGCTCGAGCCCAACCAGAAATTTGAAAATATTTTTTTTATTTTTTATTCAATAAAAAAGTGTTTTATTTATATTAAAAACCTTCAAAACTCAAAAATAATAAGCATCTCACTATTACTTAAAAAAAAGGAGAACAAAGAAAAAATATTGTATATATATTTTTTATTATTTAATATCTATATCATGTTGGGCTCAGGCTTGGGTTGGGCTTTTTTGAGAAAGCCTGAGCCTGTCCCTAAAAAAAGTCGGGCCCAGTGCTTTAGGCCCGAGCCCGAGCCTGCAGGCCTAAAACTATGACCAAGCCCGACTTATAACAAGTCAGGTTGGATCGGGCCATCGGGCTACTTGGCCCATGAACAGGTCTTCCATTGATTTCTAAATTCCAAACCTGCAACATTTATTTTTCTTTATTCATTATTGATTAGCTAGTTGAAAGTTTAGTTACACTTAAATTTTAAAATTTTAATGTTTATTTTTTAATTATTAAACTTGATTATTTAATTACTCATGAAATTCCAACTTCATTTTTGCTTCAGGTTTGGAATTTACCAAGTGGAGTCTCCAACTAGTTGTTCAATCTACCAAGTGGAGTCTCCAACTAGTTGTTCAGTCTTGCAAGTTAGCTTACCTAATTGTCTAAGCCCTTTCAAATAATTGAAAATTGAAATTGAATTTAGAATTGTGATTTGTGATACTGATAATGCAATACTATAATAGCTGAAAATTGAAATCAGATTTACTTTATCATGTATGCATTATAATTTCTGAATTGATATTCTTGAAATGCCTTTTGTGAATTGTGATGGTAATTTTAGTTAAACTCTGAAAGTTTGAACTTTGAAGTGTTATTGACTTATTTCTATTATGGATTAATTTTCCTTCATATTCAATAACTATTTTGAATTTTAATTTATTATATATTTATTTATTACATCAGCACGGTTCGACCTTTGATTTAACCCCGGTCGGACCTCTGACCCGTGAACCCTCTGCCTTTGTTGGGTTAATGCCTGGTCTGATTCTCTAAACATTGGTATTTACTATTAAGGCGCTGGGTAATGATGATTTTCTTGGTTGTTGCATTTAAACAGCTTGCAATGTCATCATTTTACTATAAATGGGCAAAATTTATGTTTGTTGACGACTCTTTTATGCAGAAAAAAAAAATGCATTGATGCGTGAAAAAACAAAACCTTTATTTGGTTATCTTGTTCTAATTGCAATAAAATTTTTAATAAAAAACAATACTTTGTACGCCTACCCAGTTTTTATTGACTCCAGATCTCCTTCCCATGATAACTCTGCTCACGTCTACCCACAACACACTACCCCCGTGAATTGGGAACATCTCTCCCTGCATAATACTATGTAGGAAGATGAGATGTTCTCCATTTGTGGCTGCAATGTTATGTGAGTGGATGTGGGCTGAGTTTGTGTGGGCAAGAGATCCAGACTCGCTTTTATCATCACTCAATTGGGAAACATGTGTTGCTGATTATGCTCAAACGGAGAGTTGGGATTAATCCACAGTTAGGATTCAGTCCACCCCTAGAAATCTTTCTGAACAGTTAAAACCCCTAAAAACAATCCACATCAGTCATAAAGTGCATATGCCCCAGAGCCACTCTATCTCTCACTTTGCATGCATGGTTGGCATGGAGCATTATTAGTAGTTATACAGCCATCGAATTCAATTGATCCGGTCTCATAAAAATAAAAAAGCTCAATAATGTCAAACACCACCCTATTTTTCAGCTCGTTTTCTTTCTCTTTTTCTTCCTTTTTCTTTTCTTTTCTTTTTTATAGGTTTTCTTGCCTCGAGCTAGATAATTTTTTTTTATCATGTTTGATTGTTGGCAAAGAACAATTAAAAAACAAATCCGATTCCTTTTCCACCCTGGGATCATTATAACCTGTTCAATATTCTCTAAATATTATGCTGTTTAGTTCCACATTGCATTTAGCCTTAGCAAATATCTTCTGCCCAATTTGAATGAGTTAATTGTTATTTGCACTGTACATATTTGTATTTGTACTCTTTTCAAACTGAGCCTAAGCAAACGTTCAATAGTTTGTGCAGAAATAGTGTCAAGAGAGCTGAGACAATGGGGGGGGGGCATGGAAACTGAGCGTCTGAACTCTACAGTCTCCATAATGAACAATTAATTTTTCTACTTTTAGGCTAGGTGTCATTTTGATCAAATAGATTAACTATAGAAGTGAGTATTTGGTAGGAGGAAATGATTCTATTTGCTGAAAACTGTGGATATTTTTGATGACTTTTCCTTTGATGACTTGTGGAGGAATTGGTTAGTAATAACTAACATTTCAACAAGAATGATTGAATTCTGTCATAATGGATTCCGCCTTTGGAATGTGTCATCAAGCTAAACTTTGATGGAAGTAGCCAAGGCAATCCCAGGCCTTCAAGGATAGGGGGTATCCTGATAAATAAGGACAACAACATAATTCCCCTATTCTCAGGACCAGTGGGAGTGGGGGATTCCACAAGGGCATAAATCCTTGCTATAGTAGAAGGAATTCAGATCGCCAACCAGCTTGGGGTGGAGCATCTCGTAGTTGAAGGGGACTCTCAGGTGGTAACTAGGTGACTCCAAAATTTGGATACCACCATTTGGGGCTACAAAGATCTCATCAAAAAAGTAAAGTGGTTAACCAGCAATATGAGAGTTGAGGTAAAATGGGTTAATAGGTCTGCTAATTCTTTGGCTGATGCTTTAGCCAAACAGGGGGCTTCTAGGGAAGATCTTTTTTGTACTTCTATGTAAGTTGTTATTAAATTAGAAATCTGTACTTAACTAGCCCGGAGAGGTTGCAACTCGTGCCTTTCCTTGGGGACTTTGTACTATTGTCTATTGCTGATTAATAAAATTATTTCAATTATAAAAAAAAATCATTTAATGAATGATTGATTTTGATCAGGAATTTGGGAATTATGACATGGTATTTCTCATGTATTACTTACTGGCATCCATCCATTACTGTTATGTCAGAAATAAATTTGCACTGCAACCAAATGCAGCCTAAGGCCCCGTTTGAAAAGAATACAAACACAAATATGTATAGTATAAATATATACAAAATACAAGATTTTTGCGCTGTACATATCTGTATTTTTATTCCTTCCAAACTGAGTTTTGGTTTGAAAGGATCAAGAGTACAAATACAAATATGTACATGGCAAATATATGCAAAATTGTACAAAATATGAGGTTTTGTTCTCTGCATATTTGTATTTGTACTCCTCCCAAACTGAAATAAGGTCCGATTTATTTACAGTACAATTTTCATTTGCACGAATGCACATTTCCCTTTATTTTTGGTTTAGATTTTACCTTAATTTATTTGTTTGCAGTGCAGATGATAAAATCTAGAGTAAAAATAAAATAAAATAAAAAGCAAAACCGGAGCAGAATTTGCACTCTCATACATTCGTACTAATACAAATAGAATTGTATCACAACAAATGGATCCATACCAAATACAACTTTTCAAAATGATTTGACACAAAATCAGAGAATCCATTCCTCTTGACAAAGATCATCCAAATAATTGGGTTTCTTTGGAATGACCCAAGGAAATGAAGCAAAGAAATATGGAAGACTAATTATTAGATGATACAGCAATTAAAATTTGATCAATAATTTATCTATTCCCTACAAAAGTACTTTGTTCAGTAACTAATAGGCCTAAACTCTCTCGAAGGACATGCACTACACGTATTTGAAACCAAGGCAATAAAAGTGGATTTCAACCCTAAATTTATAACGCCTTTGTAAAGCCATATGGACTTGGTGCTTCAGATCCATCTATAGAGATAATTGTTTTCTTTATTTCCTCCAATTCAAACCTCCTTTCAAGGCAATGCTTAACATTCTCCAAAATCCTTGTCGGGTCATGGGTCAAACCTTTTGACCATGAGTCAAAAAAAAATATAGAAATAATAGATTTTGTACTTTATAATTTAAATATAAATGGTGGGTAAATGGGATTGGTTAAGCCATTATAGCTTAGGTCCAGGGGTTAAAAGAAAAGAAAGATTACAATATTCTAACATTGCCGGTGTAGAAAAAACCTCAAATCAGCTTGGCCCCACAAGGATTTTGCAAGTCCCGCCAAAATCCCTATTAAAAATTCACGTGTCAAGGGCGAATATAACATATGTTACTTCTGACTAAGAGTTCAGTCTACGGATTTAGGCAAAAGTGTGGGCCTGTTTGTTTATTCTTACCTCTCACCCCCTAAAGGAATCTTACAACTTTAAAAGAAAGTTGAACCCTCTCCTCTTGTTACTTTTTAGTTTGCTGTGCAATCTCATTTCCATGTTTGTAAACAAATTGACTATCGAGTGCAAATTCTGGTCTATTTTAGTTTTAAGTTTCACCTTGGTTTAATTTGTTTGCAGTATGGATCAAGTAAAATAAAAGATTGCACTCAAATGAAACTACAATGAGAACAAATGGAGTGCCAAGAAAATGCAATATCAGCATCCACCAATATTTTAACAATTTGCTGGAATTCATCAGTCTCACACTCAAATCGATAATTGATACGTCTTAAAACTCTCCAAACCAAATGCATAATCTTTATAGTTAGTAATTAGTACTCTTGTTCATTCACAGACGTCAACCGAGAATAAGCATACCCACTCAATGAATTTATATTAATTATTTAATTCTGCTCTGTTTCAACTTTCAAACACGAAGATGAAATGCAAATGGCAAAGAACTGAAGAAGGAAGCTATGAAGACATGTCTTCCTAGCAGCAACTTACCTAAGAAAATGTAAGGGAAGAATAATGGTAGACTTCTCATTGTATTTGTACATACACACAGTCACAGCTTATGATGTTATGTACAACAAGGCAGTGCAAAACTGCAAATATAATTTTTGAAATGTTGGATGAGACTCGATCATTTGACTCTGTAAATTGGGCTAGTGGCTATAAAATGTCCAAACAAAAGAAAAGGAAGAAATGGAAAGAAAAAGAAAAGAAATATGCAATGAAGTAAGTAGCAGGCCCGTGGCCTTTGAAAAGGCACTTTCTTTCTATTTCTTCTTTTAGTTATTCTTGATATAATGTTATGCCACAAAAAATAGGAAAATCATTAGGAATACAATCAATACAAAGAATATCTTAATCATCAGCCACCGGTTGGATGAGATACTGTTGAGGTACTTGAGCAGCGCTCCTTGTGCCCCTTCCACATTTGCCAGTGTGTCATCCATGTTCTCATCAATCCTGTCAGGTTGAGTTCAAACAGAAGCAAGGTTAGATATCATTAACATATCCTTGACCACAGATTATGAATCACAGATTCCATTCTATATTTTAATGCAAGAAAAATTCACCATCAAATTACGCTTATGGGAGATTATATGTTTACTTCCGATTATTTTTTTTTTCGACCTCTTTTTAGTTTTTGTTGACCATGCAGTGGAAGCAGTAATCTGAGGATTGAAATAATCCAACTGCTAATTTTGTCTAGGATTTCTTAAGAATTAGAATGGATATTGAATGGTCAGACATTCAGACTGCCTGCATATTTATGTGAAAGAATAGAGAGTAATTTCTGTCTAAAGACTAGAGATTGTTCAATCTGGTCATGAATATATTTGCTAAGCATATAAACAAATCATTCCGGGGCCATGGTTTAGTTGAATTGTTGGCAAAACAGGGGGTGACGAGTTCTATGTTTTTGGGAATGCAACAAGGAGGATTTGTACTTAACACTGAAACCGAACCATCCTTTCACTCTTTGTTTACTTTATCTCTACCCAATGTAATAAAAATATAAAATTATTCTTCGTTGCTGATATATAAAAAAAAAAAGCTAGTCAAACTGTCACTTAGGTGTCAACTAGGCAACTCAGTAGGCGTTTTGGAGAAGTATGAAGCATCATCCAAGTGACTAATCAAGCAGACAGTATAGATTTAATCATCATTTCAATAGAGGAAAATAAATAATTATGTCCCTTTATCAAACACCACCTTTATAATTAATATGTAATTACATAATACTAATGCATAATCACAATACAAGAAATATACATAATTTTTTTGATAAAATAAAATATATATATATATAAATTTTACAGTGGGCCACTTTATTAAATGTATACAAAGTTACATGAGCATATCAGAATAATCAATGGCAAAATCCTGGATCTGGGGACAATGGACCCAGAACATGGTTTAAAATCTTATAGTTTGCCATGTTGAAGCAAGTTGTTAAGGCAACACCTAGGCGACAAGGCACCCTTGGAAGTTGCCTCGCCTAATCGCCAAGCAGATTTTTACGTGGTGTACTGAAATACTTTTATCTTTTTGAGATAATATTTATAAAATAGACATAATTAAACTAAAATATTCATTTTTTGTGTTTATATACTAGTTTCTTTTTATTATTTTCTTATTTGTTAGGGTTTTATCAATACTAAGATTGCTAAATATTGTCTCAAATCCTCAAAGACTTCAAAACCTGAACCAATAAGGAAGAACTTAGAATTTTGTCTAAACAATACTTCTTCTTCCACCTTTTATTTTCTTCCTTTCCTATAACAAATATAGGGGTTCAGCCCTGAAATTTTCTAAATTTTCTTTTCTTTCTTATTTTTATTCACATGAATATGTTGAGTTTCTATACTTTAACATGAAGTTTATGTATATCAAGGAAATATAGTTGCTAGTTGCTATGGAACCTAGGGAGCTACCCTAGGATAATTTTTACTTAAAAAAAATCACCAAAGCAACTACCCCCCATCCCACCCACCCACCTATAAGTTGGTCTTTCCTCAGGCCCTGTAGTTACAGATCAGGATACCAGAATTAATAAGCAATATTTCAGATTTGGGTGGGTGGGGGGTTGTTAAATGATCCATAATACAATCTAGGCAGTTGGACAATTTGAGATGTTTGTAGCAGTCTAGCAGATGTGCACACATATTGAATGGAACCAACTTCAGAGATTGGATGGGCTAAAAATAAGCCAAACCAATGATTGCCAACCTGTAACTATATACATATTATTTTTGAAACAGAATGTGTAACTATATACATCTTATTGGATTCATTTGTCTGGTGGGAAAGAGCTCTACTGCAACTTTAAGGAAACCTGGAAATGCATAGGTTGATTGTAATATATGCGGTCTCCTATGAAACCTATGGGACGCATGGTTCATCACGGTCCCAAACCATCTACAAGTCATAGAACATCTCAGCTGATAAAGTAAGAAATGAATAAATACACTGAAAGGAGCTACTTGTTTGGTTTACTTTTGAGCAATAAATACCGTAAGTAAGTTTGAGAGTAGAAACGTAGAATAATATAAAACCTGATTGCAAGCTCTCCTTGCTGAGAAACCATGGTAGCTAGTTGGGTGAAGATGTTGCTCAGTTCATGAATGGTTGACTCCACATTTTGAAGAGCTTCAGCTCTGCTCTGCATGTAACTGTCTTGTAATGGAACCAACTGCTGTTGATGTTGCTGATTCTGCTGTAGCAATGGTTGGGTCTCCCCATCTGCCTGCTTCCTGAGAAGGAAAGGAATAGAACAATTTCAATATGCCAGGGCCACAGTTCAAGTTAAGAGCATCCAGTAAAACTGCCAGGCCCATGAATTCATCACAAGTTATAAAAACTGAACACAATTACCCAAAGCACTTGAGAGGAAAAGCCTTTTAAATCCTCCCTAGTTCAGTAGAACAGTTCAATATGCCCAGGCCTCAATTCAAGTAAAGACCATCCAGTAAGTCAGTAACCTTTCTTTTCATGATTGTGTCACCACTCACCAACATATTCAGTATTCGAACATGTTTTTACCTGGGAAATAACTGGGATGAAGAAGCAGACCCATTGACCCATGGAGGTGGAGGGGTGGCTGAGGCACTAGAAGCTACCCTAGAAGCCAATGGACGCTGCCGAACAAAAGGATTAGTGGCATCCCTTGAAGAAGTGGAAGAAAACAATTGCCTTCTGTTCTCATGGACCTTCAAGTTCTGCAAAAATACAAGACCATAAAATTGGTAAATAGGAAACTAAATGAAATAATTGAAGAAACCCATAGAGAGCAACCAGTCTGGTTAAGGTGACTATTTACAGCAATGTTCCACTTACCTCTGTCCTCAAGGTAAGGACTTCCTTGAACTCCTTTGTGGTGCTCATCAAGCGGTTCTTCAGGTTATCCACAACCGTGGTTGAGTGACTAGTAGTATCAGTTGAGATGTTCCCACCTTCATTTTGTGAATTGCATAGGAGCTGCAGGTCTACTACTGCTGAGTTGAGTGCAGTGATATCCTGCTTGATAACTGCTGTCAGCTCTTGAATCTCCACTGTTGGATCATCAAACACTGATGTTCTCTTTGCCACTGCAGAAACAACAGAGAAAAACATACCTATATATTTCAACTTCTTATGTTCAATAAAGAGTGAAACAAGTGGCTTTCTTTTTATCAATAACAAGCAGCAAAAAAATTGTGACCAAATAAATGTTCAGCAAAAGGAGAAGCAAGCAAATCTTCTGCATATGATTGTTTTTAGGGATACTTTAATTGGCTCCACTGCATGAACATGAAAAACCACCACATCAACACACATACAGCATATATACAAGATGTTGTAGTGGTCGTTCCCAAGCAGAGGAAAAGGCAACTTGGATTATGACCATGTGTGTTGCTTAGCCTGGCTTGGAAATGATGACCACGTCTCTGCCCCCCACAAAAAAAAAAAAAAAAGCCACCAGGTTACAAAGGGCCCAGCAGAAAGTTATTAATTTTATTTTAGATAAGAAAAAAAATATAACCTTGACCAAATAAACAATCAATGAAGCAACCCAAAATATGATAAAATTGGATGTCTATGCGAAAAGGCACCATGGAGGTCTACTTGAAAGACGGTAGATGACTCTGAAAGGATAGTCTCAGGTGAGATAGGGGGAGTTGCGGGGGGAAGACTTCTCAAATCTGAGATCTGAGACCAGAGAAGAGAGCTGGGAGCAGGAAGAGAGTTAAGGCTTCAGACTGGCAGAGCTTACACAAGGCTAGGTTATGAACACATGAGAGGATCCTTTGGAGATCCCCTATTTTTATAGATTTCCAAAGGAAAGGATGGAAGCTTTCCCGCTTCAGGAAAGTTGTCACGAGGCTGTTATGAGTTTATTAGATCTGAGAAACCCGAGTCAGTTGAGGTTTCGCCACATGTTCAGGTAGTTACCTTGGTATTTGAGTTCCAGCTCTTTCCCAACATACACATGTGAGCACAAGTGCAACAACTACTGCCCCTTTTGAGTTCTTTGGTGAGCATACAGGGGAAAGGTTTTACCTCAATAATGCTCAAGTGTTAATTCATGTTTGTGACGAGCGATGTAGAACTATGATAAAATTGCAATGGGCATCCTCAAGACAGAAGTGCAACACTAGACTGTGATAGTCCTGCTGCAATACAAATCCAAAGTGTGATAAGATATCACAGGGCTTTTGTCATGATAGAGAATGCGATAAGGGAGTGTGGTAGGGAAGAGTACATACATGTGATGGATGCACTAAGAGCATTGAAGAAGAATTTAGTGATAGGTAGCCAATCACCAAGAGGGAGGAGATTGTGATATCGCAACGTCAGAAAGTGATAAGGAGTTGTGATGCAATGTGCTATTACGAGGTTTCACTGCGATGAATAAAAGTTGGCTGATATAAAATCAATGAGATGGCTACACTATTGTTCTACGTCAACCTGTTATTATCTCATTGTGTTACTACCACAATGCAACAGCTGACCAAGTAGTCTTGTAGCATATGCCATTTGTCACAGAGGATGTGATGTCTAAATCCATGTACTTACACATACCAGATTCCAGACGAACTTTCATATGGTGCAGTTCACATATGATTTTTTTTTTAACACACTTCAACTCCAATTTGACAAGGGCATAAAGGTTTTTCTTTTAAGTGAGTATGGCAATACTTCTATATTGATACCCAATAAGCTTTAGATTGATCATATATAACATCCATTTTATTTCCTGATATCTGAATTTCCTTCTCTTCTTTTTTTATAATAAGAATAAATCAAACTAAACATAGTACCACCCATATTCAAGTGTCTTAAAAAGTATAGGAGGCTAGGCTCCAAGAAAATACCAAGAAGCTCAACCCAAGGTTCATGCTTGAAAGTCTAAATTATAATGCCCATTCCTCACACCTTGAAATGCCTTGTGTGTGTCTTCTTTCCTTCTTTTGGTATTGACAGGAGTATGTAAAAGTAAAACTAATGGTTAGAGAAAAATTCTAACTGTTTAACGGATTTCCTAATAACAACATGTGCAGTTTACTAGAGTTGGCAAGATCATTAGTTAAATCTACAAATAGGAAAGCAAACAACTAAAAGATCCAAAACATCCATTATCATCTGGGTCCCTTTTAAGACTAGATTAGAAGCCGGTGAAATAAAGATCTTCAAGCATTCAAATGGAGCTTCCTGCCTTCCTCTGCATTTTCATGGCTTTAGTTGTACCACCTGGACAAGAGTGTAATTCTAAGATAAAACTTCTTATATGATTACGGTTTGGCTGGACTACATGTTGATCTACCTCAGTATTCTTGCTTGATGAGATCTCAATCATGAACCAGTCCACTGACACCCCTACACTGGAGCTGGATTGTTTAATATAGTTTTGTACCAGATCATGGAGAAGGAGACTATTTATGCAACCACAACTCTCAAAGTGGTTCAAGCTATGCAAGATATCAAATTTGCTGCTTTCTATAGTTTCAATTGTATCCATTAGAGACCTAATCCACACCCACATCTTGATTTCGAAGAATACTATCCCCCATAAGTTCAAATAAAACCAAATGAAACCACCTTCCGCCTAACACTTTCATATGTTTAGAAGAGCTAATTGAACAACCTTCTACAACCTCATTAACAGAGGCATAACAAAGAGGAAGGAACCAAATGAGTAAAGCACTACAAATTTATAATGGATTGTTTGTTTATTTATTTATTTTGTCTTTAATGGATAAAATTCACTAATCAACACTGCATTGTATCTTCAAAATAACAAGGTACAGCATAAGACTCCAAACTCCTTCTCTGACCACTTATTTATATTACTAAGACTACACCAATGAAAACATTTCCAGGATGTCAGGTTCTAAAACATATCAATAGCCATGCAACATGGCCTAATGCTGAGCTAGATTAGTGGCTGATAGTAACCTCCACAATATTATTTATTAATGGTATTAATAAAACTAGAATCATGGTGCCTGAAATAGATCAAAATTTATATCTTGAGACTTGAGTGGTCTTTGTACAAGCCTTGCAGTGTTTTAAAAGGCGCGCCTAGGCGCAGAGGCGAGGCGCTTTCCAGGCTGAGCGCCTGGCCCAGGCCAAGGTGCACTAACCTTGATCAGGCGCTCGTCTTTGCCAAAACAACCAAAAGAAAAAAAAAAAAAAAGTTTGGAGGGAAGACTTCCTTTGTCCAAAAGTTAGCACTCCAGAAGACAAACCAGAGGAAGCTGAAGCTCATTCAAGCTCAAGTTCGTCCAGTCCAAGCCTGAGTGGAACAAAGCTACAGTATCAGCCTATCAGGTATGTTATGTTTTTTTTTTTTTTGTTCTTCTTCTTCCTGCGGCAGTTGGCAGTCCAGGCTGAAACAGGGGCTCCGCCCTATTTTTCTTCTTCTTCAGCCTCTTCTTCTTCTTCATACAATACATGCATAAAAACAGGGGCTCCACCCCTTTTATTTTTTTCGATTTTTCTCAGTAAAACAGAGGCTCCGCCACTGTTATTTTTTTCGTTTTTTCTCAGTAAAACAGGGTTCCGCCCTTCTTGTTCTTCTTTCTTGCAGTCTTGTTTCTTGCACAAAAACAGGGGCTATGCCCCATTTGTTTTTCCAGTTTTTGTCATAAAAACAGGGGATCCGCCCCTTTTTTTTCAGTTTTTCTCATTAAAGCAGGGGCTCTGCCCCATTGTTTTTCAGTTGTTATCATAAAAACAGGGGATCCACCCCATTTTTTTCAGTTTTTCTCATTGAATTGAAACAGTTTTTATCATAAAAACATATTGATTATCTAATGTTGTATAGGACTATAGGTTGTGCTCATATGTCATATTCTTAAATTCTTTTATATTTTTATATTGAATCATTGAATTTGAAATTTGAATGTGTTATACACTTGTACTGTTCTGTTATTATTATTTTTTTGAAGTCTAGTCTCCTTTAATTATTTAATGCTGATTTCTTAATTCTGTACTTATTGCATATTTTCCTGATTAACCAATTGAATCATTGCTGATTGCAATATTGCATTTGCATATTCTATAATTCTTTTATATTTAATCATGCTGATTTCTTAATTCAGATTGATCGTTTTTTTTTTTTATCAATAAATTCAGATTGATCATTGATGATTGCATATTTGCATATTTTCCTGATTCATTAACTTCAGAATTCAGATTGCTGATAAGCTGATTACATTACCTCTAATGAGTAATGACTAATAATCTAAGTATCTAATTCTAACCAATTGAGCTAATAACTAAGTAATTAACTTTGCTTTTTGATATTTTCCTGATTTCTTAGAATTTCTACATGTTTTTTTTTTCTATTTTTTAGTTGTTTTTTTTTTATTTTGTGTGCCTTTTTTTAAAAGGTGTGCACCTTGCCTTGCGCCTCAGGCACAAAATGGCCCTTGTGCCTTGCCTGCGCCTTTCGCTTTTAAAACATTGAAGCCTTGCCTAGGCACGAGGCACAGCATTTTGAAAAAGCATGCACCTGGTGCACCTTGGACTTCAGTCCGGAAATGTCAAATGTGCCTTTTCAAAATTTGCGTTTTTTGCTCATTTTTATGCCTAGCAGTTGGGCCAGGCGCAGATCTGACCAAGCCCCTTGAGGCAAGCCCAAACAAGCCCATGTTTAAGGTCTTAAATTCTTAATCCCTACAAAAAATGATTTTATAATTTTAATTGTCTTTTAGAAATGTCTTTTATTAGGATGAATGTATAAAAAACATTAGCAAATAAGGGGTTCTCTATAATTCATCATAAGAAAAGACATTTTTAAAAGACAAATTAAAATTATAAAATCATTTTTTGTAAGGATTAAGAATTTAAGACCCTAATATGGACTTATTCGGGCTTGCCTCAAGGGGCATGATACGAAGCAGTGTTTTAAAAGGCACGGGAGGCATACGCCCGGCGGTGCACCTCCAGGCGAGGTGCTCCCAAAATGCCTTGAGGCATATGACAAAGGCGCTGACACCTCTTAGGTGTACGCCTCATACACTTTTTTTCATGAGGCATTCTAGAGGCGTATGCCTCATGTGCCTCATATAAAAAGACTAAAAAAAGAAAAAAGGAAAAAAGGAAAAAAGGAAAAGAAAGGAAAAGAAAAGAAAAGAAAGGGAAGGGAAGGGAAAGACAAAGAAAGAGAAAAAAAGAAAAAAAGAAAAGAAAAGGGAAGGGAAGAAAAGATACGGGGAAAGAAAGTGATCTGCTCTAGTAAGCCTCCTCTAGTGCTATGCATCTTTATTCTTCTTAATATAAAAAAAAGTTTATTAAAAATAAAGAAAAAACAAGATCCCCCCTGACTCTTCTTCTTCCTCCTGACCCCCCTCCTCTTAAGGAGGCTTATGCCTCCTTGTGTTCGGGAGGCTTACACCTCTTACGTTCTAAACTACGCCTCAAGCCTCTAGGTAGTGGAACACCTCGCGTCACGCCTCCACGTTTTAAAACATTGGTACAAAGGTGGCTCGTAAAATGTTTAACATTACAATTATCAAAAAAAAAGCTTAACGTTACATTAGCTATTTGAAATAATATAATTGGTAAAAAATATAATTTGAAAAATTACATGCTTAAATTTGTTTTATATGTTATGTTTGATTTTAATTTTAAGTTTTCATTTTGAATATGTTTTACATGTTACTTTATGTATTTTAATTTAATTTGAGATAATAGCTTCTTTAAAACATTTATTTTAAAATTTAAGTTTATATTTTAAATTAATATTATGTTTAATATTTTTTTTTTGCATTTTTTTGTCTTGCTCCAAAAAGGCACATACCTCACCTTGCACCTTGCAGCTCGGGCACTAAATGCCCCTTGCACTTTTTTTGCGCCTTGCGTAGTTGCGTTTTTAAAACACTGCTTTGTACTTTACCTTTCTAGAGAGGATCTTCATCCACTAACTCAAATGGAACAACTTAGAACTTATAGCTTGCAAGATATACTCTCTCCAAGTCACTTTGCAAAGCATTAAAGCATGCAACAGCAAAATGATTCACTAGCTGAGATGTAACAAAATCCACGCAACATAAACACCATAATCCGATGTCAAACATTCACCAGAAACTAAGTGCGCACAGTAATCCAGTGTTAAACGTTCACAAGAACAATAGTGTGAAAAAGCCATCCCTCCAGGGCCTCCACCTCTGGGAGCGCCCGAGAGGAAAACAACAACAACAACAAATAAGGGGAAAAAGGGAGCAAGGTGCATCTGGAATAACTCAATTTCAGTCAGAAAACCAACATGAGTGGCATAAACCATGCAAGAAGTCACAAGGATAAAATGTTGGTTCCTTCTTGAAAATAAGAGACGATTCTCAGGTTAATAAAAGCTTGCAGCTTATATGTCTTAGGTGCTCAGTGCTCTGTTATCAAAATTAGTAAATTTGCTTTTTGTGCTCGGTTCACTCATGTGGGGAAAAAAACTCAAAATAACACGTCTAAGAAAATGAAACACATAAGATGCATTGATGCAATATCTGTATCATTTTCAATTATCAAAAAAAAAAAAAAAATCTGTATCATTTTCCACAGTTAGTTGCCAGTTGATATATCAAGATTGTAAGATAAATATCAGAACCCACAAGCTATGTTTCAGTAAGAAAAGGAAGAATAATTGTAGCTGTTTTGGCAAATCTGTTCTTACATTTTGCAAGCTTCGAAAGCTTTTGTGATGTCTGATGGATCCCATATCCAATCTTTGAAGCCCTCTTGTTGAACTCCGACTGAATAGAGACCGCAGATCGCGATCCCTCTGGTTTCGACCTACTACTCGGCACACTTGGCGCCGATGAAAACGACTTCTTTAGCCTCTCTGCAACAGTGAGAAACTCTTGCGTTCGATCCCTATACGACGACTGCGCGGATTTCACAGGCATTTTGAACTAAACCTTAAAATTTGGTAAAATCCACCTTTAAACAAGATAATATCGCAAAAATCACCTCGAATTTCTTCCTGTAAGAATCCAATCAATGGAAACACCTCCAGATTCTGACCGGTTTCGCACCCAAAGCCGGATTGAAAACTGTAAACTGCAGATGATATTTCTTTCAGAGAAATGCGAAGAAACTAAATCAGAATCTCAGGAGTAAGAACAAAAAAATTCGTGATCTCGAGAGATGAAACCCTAGATCTGGCACAAGAACTCTGTACATGATGTGTAGCAGCAGCCTTGGGCTTCCAATTCAAACTTCTTCCTAATGAGATCGACGATCATTTTCCCGACTACCGACCAAAATTGCAGAGAACGACAGAGAGTATGAAATTGAGAAGATACAAGGAAATGAAAATCGAACAGCAGGAACCAGGAAGCGAGGAAAAAGAAAACTCGTCTCAGCCGTTCTGGTGCTCAAATACCTGAACTTTATTCGCATATAATGATGCTATACGCTAAAAGACAAGTCAATAAAATAGGACACAGATCAGCTACGTTAGACGAATTACCAGTTCGGATTTATATCATAATAACAGCTTCAGATTTGTGTTCAGATTATTAAAATGATCCCTAGTCTACCATAACTTAATTACTGACAGGATGCAAATATTTATGAAAAGTAGAATGACTAATCTAGGCCTACACCTTTGAATAAGGACGGAATTGCTTACGATGCCGCATAAGCAGACGTCTGGGCAAAACGGACATTCTGTGCCCTAGCATTGCGGGAGCACGGAGATTTGTCCTGTTCAAGAGATTTTGCCGCGTAATGGCGCAAGTATTCCGAGTCGAGAGCATTCTTGTCCATGCAAACGAAATTAACATTCATCAATTTTGAGTACAAAGTTTATATTTTTTTTACGTAAACATTGTTCTAATTTTGGGTGTAAATTTTGTGAAAATTGTGACTTGAGGTGCATAAATGCATTCTTATCAAATCCCGACAAAATTGAACTAGAACCAATATTTGCATTCCTCCCGAATGGAGCCTTTTTTTTTTTCTATATCTTGCAAGGTGCATTGGTGCAAGTTAGGGCTGGGTAGGTCAGATTGAGATTGACCCTAACCCAATCCGAGCTGTGGAAGTTCCAACCCTAACTTGAAAATTTCATATCGAGTCCATTCAAGTGTTGAGATCAATTCAATTTTAGTATCATTATTACATGTAAAATGCACATAGTCATCATGTTTTTTAAGAAATTTACATTTAAATTGAAATTCAAATATGTATTATTCTGATTCAAGAATGCAAAGTGTAACCTGTTTTTTGTATCCTTCCTGTTTGGTTGAAATCAATGCAAAACTTAGGCCCCACTATTAATTGCCTTTAATTTTTTGATCAAACACACCAATTATATGAAAAGCATAAATTTGTATTTAGTACAGTAATGTGCTTTATTCATGACACAAAAGTGTTAGAAAATATATTTTTGACATTTTAATCATTATATTTTTGTATGACAACCAAATATTAACAAACACGAACTGGGGTACATAAATACCCCAGTTCGATGTTTTCTATTGCAAATAAACACAGCCTTAAGTTCAAAATTATTGATATATACATAAATACATAATAAATGTACATATAATATTTATATACAAATATGAAACTAAGTCAGGTTGGGTTGGCCAAGGACTCAACCCTAATCAAACCTAAAGTTAAGTTAGGTTTACACTTTTCAACCCTAACTTGAACTTCAACCAAACCTGACTGTTTTCGGTTGGATCTGGGCTAACCTAATCCAAATTAAAACCCCAATGGGTCGATTTCTTACCCGATCATATAGGCTCAATGTAAATTCTGGTATATAATTTTGTTTTGAAGGTATCACTTTTTTTAGCCTAAAATTCACTCTAAGCGGAGGGGCAGCCATCATAGAATTTTATTAATCAACCGTTATCAAAAAGGGAATTACATGAAAGGATGTAGTCTGCTTGCCCCAAAGCCCAAGCAAGAAATTCCATCCACACTCAACCCTGCCCGAAAACATTGCATAGAAAGTAAAACAAAAGAACAAAACCACAAATCAAAGAAAGCATCAGTTTCTCTCTATCCCCACGATTGGTAGCCGCATATAATCTTCTTTCATGAAGTTCAAGAGATCCCAAGGAAGATTTGAAAGTCAAACACATGTATACTTCTTTTCAAGGTTTCACTTTGTTTTATTTGTCTCAGAACGAGCAAAATGAAAAGTGATGTAATCCCACTTTGTAGGAAAAAGCTCTCAAACTCGTTTGAGAGAGTAAATGAAAAGTAAAAATGACGTAAACCCCACTTTATGTGGGAAAGGATCAATAAGCGTAAATGAGATTTTTTATTTGCCATGAAAAAAATAGTTTTTTTTTTAGTTTTAAATAAAAATAAAAGGCTGCATTTGTTTATGATGCAAAATATTAATTCATCACATGCATTTATATTTGGGGGCGTTATTTTTTTGGATTTTGAGAGGGGGAAAAGTTGGTCAATGGGATTTTGATTACCTTGATCAAGAAATTCATGTTTTTTTTTTCAGATTTATGTGAAGACTAGGGAAAGTTTATTTCTCTAGGTATCACTTATCCAGGTAAGTGATACCCATCTCCTAGGTGGATAAATAACTTTCCCACTGGGGGAAAGTTGCCAACACTTGAATGAGACAAAATGCCCCTTTTAATAATTGAATTTTATGGTTAAAATGGTCATTGTCTTATTTACATGGGAAATAAAAGAACATGTGTAAATGCACTTACCTAGGTAAGTCTTTTACTAGGAAACACTTATTTGGGTCCCGAGTAAATAACTTACCGAAAAGTGAACGGGGCCTTAGTGCAAACAAACAGAGCATACATACTAAAAGTGTTAAGTAGTCATTGATGCAAGGTGCCAACTAGTGGGTTGGTAAGGTCTTCTCTGGTCATAGCAAGGACTTGGGATCGAATCCCGCCTGCACCTAGGTTGGGGGTTATGAGTTGGTGGAGGGGCTATCCCAATTGTGCAACTCTTCAAAAAGAAATGAAAAGGCGGATTTTATTGAAATTGACATTCAATCTTGGTTTGATCTCTAATTCACTTTTTTTTTTGTTAGATGATATCTGATACACCTACCCAGTCCAATTTCAATCTGGGCCAATTAAGGCCTAAATTTGCAACTATGTCTCTTAAACTGCAGTTATTTGTGGTATAAATGTGGACCGATGTAAAACTCCACTCCCGCGTTTGTTTGCGGTGTAAAACTCCATTCCCGATTTGTATTTGTCAATGTTTGGATGGAGTGTAGTATTATATTGTAAATCAATGTAAAACTCCACTCACGGTATAGTTTTACATCAATAATCAATATAAATACAATATCGATAAAATTGATGTAATATTTATATAAATAATCACATTTTCAAAGTACAACACTTCACAACTTTTAGGGGGTGTTCTTTTTTTGGATATAAATAATCACATTTTTTAGGTAATTGCATTTACCTGGATAAATAACTTCATCTATTTAGGAGGACTTTCATGCAACAACTTTAGGTTGTATAAAGTATTATCCATGTGGACAACTTATAAGTTTTATTTCGTTCAGCATCTAAAAAACCTAAATATGTTGTCATTGAGCTAAAAAGAATAAAAAGAAAAGCTTTTCAAGCTAATTTCATTAAAGCATTTCAATGAAAGCAGCTCAATATATAAAACTTTTAGCCCACCCAAACGAGCACATAAGGCCTAAAACTGGACATCCATAACCCAGTCCTGGATAAATGCTCAAACAATTTGCTCAGGTTAATAGAAGGTTGGGTGATGTCACCAGGGTTGGGGGTGGTTATGGGTAGAGTCCAAAACTACCAACCACATTCATCTAACCGCAGATTAGGAATATCGATGAACATAACCAGCAATGTATTGTGAATTTATGATCAATAAATCTAGACTTTTTATGGGTAAGGGGGACGGGTTACTTGACCCTTCATTCAACACTGACCGAAACCCAATCTAAAGCCCCAACGACAGCAAGAGCTTATCACAGAACAGGTTGGTTAAGCCAAGGCTAATTTCTAGTAAACTTTTGGCAAATGATACAACGAAAGCCCAACAACTAGCCACAAATATTCAATACCCGAGTGAAAGGTTGCTTTCTATTGATTCTATTTCTACCCATCACTCTTTCCCATTGAAGACCTACAAAGTTCCAACTTCCAAGTATACAAAACTTGAATGAGGTGGTTACCACAAGACTCTGCAATCAGTGTTGTCAGACTTGGACCAGGCCAAATGGTTAAACTAGAAGAGAGCACATTACCTAGAATAACTAAACGACCCCACTGATTTTTAAACACACCAGTGTTCGGTGAAAAATACAAAGTATCACATCAACCTGGTGCCTCATTAAAACGCCACTGATTTTCAGTCGGAATGAACCACCCAATTAAGCGGTTTATAGGAGAGCTACTAATAGACTAGGAGGAGGCTGTAATTTCATATTTCTGAGGTGGATTGCAGCCCACTTATCCCTTCAATTTTTTGTTGGATTCAAACTGGACAATATTCTCTTTAATGATTTAGAGGGTGTTTGGTTCTGTTTACATTTATGGGTGGTTATTTATTTGTACTTTTTCACTTTAAACAAGTATTTATATTTTTTTACTTTAAACGTTTTTTACTTTAAATGTTTCCTGTTTTTGTTGTTTGGTTGGGTTTCACTTTAAATGTTTTTTATTCTTTACCTCAGATTAATACCCATTAAAGTTTGGCACATCAACATTTGGTTTCAATAAACTCTGGAGCGTTGAGGGAAACAAGAATTTGGCGTTTTCCCAAATGTCCCATGCACAAAAATCAAAACATTTCAGTTTTTTACCGTTTATTTGATAAATGGTGAAACTAAACAGTTGTTTCAATTTGCTTCATATGCAATAAATGCCAATGCCTATGTGATGCTGATGTGGCAACGTTTTTTCAATAAACGCCAATGAAACTAAACACATACTTAAAAGGAACTCTGATGGGCTCCTCATCTCATGGAGTGTGTTGACAGCCCATCCCCTCTAGTATTGGGAACATCCTCCATGTTTGTGTTTGTTATGGGGGAGATGTTCCCAAATCACGGAGGGGATGGATTGTGGGGTGCGCTCCATGTGGAGGTGGAGTCTTGAATCCTGAAATACTGGACCATCTGCCCATGGCAACACATCTGGTCAAGATGTGATGGGGGACAAAAATTGGTTTTCTTGATTCACAATTCTCCTTTAAGAGTTAAAGTTAGGAGTGCTTATTTTTAAATACTTTTTTGAATAAACATTTATTTTGAGGCAGGACTACTCCAATAAAGTACTTATTTATATTTGGGAAATAAGTCGAATTTAAAAAAACCCAAATTCTGAGCTTATTTTTAAGCATGGTTTTTAAAACCGACCCAGAGACTAAACCGGTCAGGGGTCCGATTACCAAGTCGAAC